TTGATATAAAAAGATACGTTACTCCGCTCTTTCCCTTTCTTAATTTTATTGTTTGTGACCACCGTTGCTGTCAATTAATTAAAATAAAATAAATGTGTGCGTGTTCATGTTTATATACCTATAAACCGTTAGTCACCTAAAAGTTTGTATTCGTTGAAACAATAACACTGGATCGAAAAAGCCGAAAAGAAAGAAAAAAAATGTCTACAGACAGGAAACTTTTCAATTACGTTTGCACGCAACGTCTAAGTTTTTCATCTTCTTTTCGACTAACCGTCATTATTATTATTATTATTATTATTGCTTATTTAGAATATTTATTTTAAAAATCGACACGATATAGTAATTCATATTTGAATTTATTACTGTAATACGATGGCAGTATATAGATATTTTATTTTTATAATTATTATTTTATAATAATTTATTTAATAATATTAAATTCGAATTTAATCTATAATAATATTAATTTACAAAGACAAAGACGTTTTTACTAATTAATAGTTAATTAGGGAATATTAAATAATCATAAATGAATCAATTTCAATTGAAAAAAAAAAAGAAAAAAGGTTATGATTGGGTTTTCGATTACGAAAGTTATTTTTATGTTTTTACTTGATAATTATTTTTTAATATAATTTGTTAGTTATTTATTATTAATTACGTTTGATAAATGTAAGATAGTTTTGTATAATGCCGCATCAGTTTAACTAAACTGGTGATTTTTTAGATAAGTGCTGACTGCTGATGATATCTTAGAACATTATATTCTACCCCGTGTAAATAGAAAATTAAAATACCGTGAATGTTTTAAATAGCAGAACGGTATTTGTCGAAAAACCAAGCTACGGAATAATATTAAGGTACGCGAACCGTTCGACCAAATCCGATGCCCGTACGGGTTAAAAACGGTTATCACGTGGGGTGGGTTCCGATTGCATTAAATTTTTCTTTCGCACCCGGAGTCAATTAGTTGGATCATTACGATTATTTCCAATCTGCTTAACATAAGACCAGCTAGGACCCTCTTCAATGTCCGATTTATTTGTATACAAGTAATAACACCACGAGGCACATGACGTAATCCGTTAAGGATTTGTCTGTATCAGATACGCGCGCGCCGGGACGACCGGGGGAAAAAAAATGAACTCTAGGTAACTGTTCGGGGTCGACTTCCGGTTATTATTTTGGCGTTTGCCGAAACTTTGGTACTGGAGTAGTAAATGCAGTACACCGCACGGTGAAACGTGTCCAGCGTGATTAATCGAACTTTCGGTCGTTCGGCGTTGGAATATTTCGCGCGGGGATGAAACGACGCGGGGCGAGCGACAGAGCTTTCGTTACGGGGGAAATTGTTGCCTTCTCTATATTTTCCCACTTATTTGTTCCGGAACAGAATCTATATATATTTATAAGTGTATGTGTGTGTATATACATTAGATAGCACTGCAGTCAGTTAAGTCTGACGGTAGAATTGCCGTCACGTTCGGAAATCTCGTATCTAATGCATTAAGAGCCAATTTTTTCCCTTTCCGTTTATTATTATTCCACGTAATAAATCCTATAATGAATTATTGCCCGTGCCTTTTGAAAAAAAAAAAAAAACCAATAAAAGTTCAACGCGTGGCAATAGAAACGAATTAGATTGTCGTAACGCGAAACAACCGCAACACTAGAATCGGATTTTTTGTTATGATCAACGAACGGAGTTTGAAAACACTGAAACTTCGGTGACAACTTTTGAATGACAAATACGTACGCATATGCAAAAGTTATGATGATAATATTAAAAATAAGATTAAAAAAAAAAAAACAGGGACAGCTGCAATATTGTCCGTCGTTCGTAAAAGAACGAGATGTACAGATCATCTTGTGTGCACCAGATTTCGGACAAACGAAAAAGGACAGTTTTTCTTTTTATTATTGATAAAATGGTAAAAGCAGTAGCACAGCTTTGACATACTTCAAAATAGCTGTAAAAAAAAAAAAAATAAATAAATAAATCGTTGAGGTTACGGAAAAGCAAAAAGGGTTTTCGTTAAAATGACTAAGCTTTTGAGGGTACAATTTCTTGTTAGCCACAACTATTATCAAAGGTGCCGGTGGTAAATGCAGCGGGATAATAATATATATTATTATATCAGTGTGACCCTTTGCGGACCAAAGGCTTTTAGGTGCCGTGTACATAGAACACACATGTACACGATTTAATCGAGTCGTGCGATGATAGGAAATACGTTTTTAGAAAAAATGTTTAGACAAAATAAAAAGGGGGGAAAAAACCTTTCACCTGTTATTTCCCAATTTTTATTTTCCATTTGTCTTTTTCTCCGAGCTACCGACACGTATATCCATTGGTAAATATCAACAGAAGTTAAAATCTCAAAGACACGTGCGTCATCCATTTGTATTATATAGACTATAGTATAAACAATAAAATTTTTGAGTTTTGAATCACCGAACAACGTTTTTACCGAAGTACTTTTACATTCTGCATATTATTGTTTGAATAAGTAAATCTTGACAGTTGACAAAATCAATAGATGTTATGTTTCCGTTCTTTATTTTTTTTCTTATGTATACGAACAAATTCAATTCAATTCTAAATTTATGCTTTAAATAATATTGCACCAATCATTGTAATGGACTCGGTTGGTTCAAACACTACAAATATGCATACATGTATGAATTTGATAAGACTGTGTACATATACTTAATTTTTTTTTTTAGAAATATATATTTTAAATTTAAAAAGTACCGATAAAAGTTAAATTGTTAATTTGAAATAAATAATGCCAAACAGTATAATCTCGTATTCATTAATTTCAATAAATATTTTATTTGTATTTTCAAATGTTTTATTACAATGTTTCAAAGTTGAAGATAAGTTAAAAGTGATGGAGTTGAACGTATACTCGTGTTAAAGTATATTTTGTGCATTAAAAATGTGATTTATTAATTGAAAAAATAAAATTCGGCCTAACAATAAATCAATTATTTTGTTCAAGTATTTACACAACCCATATAATAATAGTGGGCTTAACATACTTGGGTTGTATAATAGTTCTTAGTGTTTAATAAGTCGTAAAAAATATATTATAATTAATACATTTTTTTTCGCGGACGTTTGTATATTTTTATGAATCAATCAACAAGATAATTTACTATCTGATTGACGAGTATGTTAAACGATTTATAAATAACATATCGTACCAAGTATTAATTTTCGTGCACCAAAGCTATTGAGAGTACTGATTTTGATCACATGAATGATTTCGATGATCATACGCAATTATTAATCGGTAGCGATTTTGAGTTGTAGCGCATAGTTTTAATTACACTCGACCAACTGTTAAACGATTAGTGTAATGTTTATAATGTTTACACTCATTGTCGTGGGTCCGGCATGGATCGTTCGAATAAAACGTTTCGTTTGTTATTCGGCACAGTCGTATATATATATTTTTTTTTGAACACGCGTCACATTTCAATTAGATATCAATCGTAGTTTGATTATTTTATAATCTCGCTACAATTTGTTGTCTCGCTAAATTTCAGAATCGTCAAATGTCTAACACTATGTATACGAGTATGTACGTACGTATTTTAAGAACAACGTGCACGGAATTTGTAATTCGAACAGGTAATTTAATTCGGCCGAATCCCATCGCTTAATTAAATTACATCTTTGTGCGCTAACGCCAGAGCTACGCGTTTCGACAAGATGTCTATTTGTTTATTCCGCGAACCACACGGGCTAAAGGCAAGCCATAAGCATACTACTCTACGTATAGATAGTGTCATATCTCTTTGACCTGGATCGTTTGAATCAACGACTTCATTAGCGACACGTGCACGAGTAAAATGCAAGCAATGAACGTTTCGTATAAATAATATATACGAGCGTTTGTACATACATGTGTACATACAGCGGCGTAGTTACGGGGTGGGGGTGTATGAGGTTTCCACCCTCCTCCCAGAATTTTTTTTTTTAACGATATTAAATTATTATTTATCATAGTTTACGTATTATAGAAAAATTATATTTTCATTGCACTACGATTAGGTATATATTAAAAATCGAGTAACAGAATAATTTTCATTAAATACGGGACATAATGATAACACCATTTTACATATGTAATATTATTGTATAGGATCTCGTGTTAAGATATACTAAGAATATTATAAATCAACTCTTAAACACCCCCTCGCCTCAAAAAAAAGAATTATATCTACGCCACTGAATATATATATATACACACGCGCGCGCGCGTAAGAATAATTAAGATTTTGTTGTTTATTGTTCGACGACATTGCCTTGTGGTGCGTTTTTAATTACACATTACGCGTTGTATATCGATCACAGGAAATAATAACAAAATCACAGACAACAAATCGACATTGGTGTACGTATACACCACATGTTGCTTTGATATACGTTACATATACATCTGGAATCGTCCGCCTGAAAAATGTCTCTTGGTCTTCGATACTTGTACAGACGACAATTAAATAACGTTACCTAACATGAATGATCTGCTTAGATTTGGTTATCGTATACACATTATTATTATTATTATTATTATTATTATTATTATTATATACTCGAAAGCGGAACATCGGGTCGTATCTTTCTTGTTCTCTCTCTCTCTGTCTCATCATTTTGATTTCGATGGATTTGAATATGCACACGTGGTGTGTCTTTTCTATCTAATCCTATGTGTATATACGAATACATGCGTACGCGCGCGTACACCCACACACACACACACACACACCCACACACACACACACACACACACTCACA